CCAGGGGGAATGACCATGCCACAATCCCTTCTCCTCCAGTCTCCTTTAGGGGTTTTGTGCATGTATGCATATATGCCTAGCATGATTTTCTCACAATTGGACTTGTGACATCCAGTGCCTTAACGTCTGCACCACCTGCTCTTGGGAATATCTTTGATGTCTCTTCCACCAACACCGGAGTGTCTACTCAGACCACAAATCTTAATGATTCATGGAGCATTTTGTAAATCGCTTATTTCCATTTCCTCTACCAGCAGCCTAATGACGTTGGAGTGGCTTTGTTGTTCAATGCAGCCTTTGTACCCCGCCAGTTGTATCTTCCTCAGCACAACTCTGGGTATCATTACGATATCATTACTTCATACATGTCATGTGTTACATTTTGGCTATTGATTTTCATGAGTATTATTTGATTTATTCTTATGAGAATTCTGGGCAGTTTGTTATACATTATTAGGTTCTTAATTCCAGTTTACAAAATCAAATAGAGGTGGTAGTTTACCAGACCACAAAGCTGCAACGCACATGCCAACCATGGTTCAAATCCCCAGCCCAACCATGGTTCAAATCCCCAGCCCAGTGGTCCTGAGAGCATGCCAGGCACATGCACATATAGGATTGGAGGAAAGATAAAAAAATGCATGACTGAACCCCGTGGTGGACACTTCTTTCTCTCTCTCACATGTGCATGCATTCTATCATAAATTTTAAAAAGAAAAATGAAGTGGAAACTAGAGAACACAAGCAAGTTTGCCCAAGATCATAGAAATAAATGCCAAATCCAGGGCCTGCACCCTCTACCTCTGACGAGAGACAGTTCTGGGTGCTTAATTAAACTCAGAGCATTCTCAATAGTCTTCATCAAGGTTGGGGGAGCAGTTTCTTATAACTTTAGTTATGAGAAATGCATTGGGCTCAAGGATTTTGTTTTAATGCATTTAAAGATAAGCAAATGGTAATTGCTTGTGGAGAAAGAGGGAGTAAGGAGCTCTTGAAAAGATTACCCTACATTGAAACAACATAAGTATCAATGCCTTTTAAAATATATACTTTCTAGTTTTCAAATTTAGTTTGGTTTTGCTCTGAGTGTTATGCACATTAACTCTAGTTTAAAAAAAAAATTTACCAGATGAGCTTAAGCAAAGAATACCCATTTGCCTATTCAGAGAGAACTGAAAATGTAATTTCTCTAAACTGAGTATTCAGGAGGAAACACTTCCAGTTAAATGAACAGTTGAAGGCTAAATCTTAAATAAATTAGGAATTATTGTGGTCTATTCAGCCACTGCTGCTTAAAGTGCATTCAGATATAAAGAGATTCTATTTTCTAGCACCATGGATAGAATGTTTACCTCTCCATGATATGAATTTATTAAATATTCAATAGTGACAAGAAATACTTAATCAGCCTGTATCCTTTCATCGTTTTGGTGGATAAATTAGAGACCTGATACATAATCTCTTAATTAGTGTCCATTTTTGAAATTCACACTTTCAGGCAAGTTTTTAAAGAATGTCACTTTTATGAAAACCATGACTACATCTCCATTTGGAAATTCAAGAGAGTATAATAAAAATTAATTGAACTGTCATAGAAAGACCGAAGCTAGACAAAATAGAAAATGTGATTCCTCTGTAGAAGTGCATGGGTTTGTTCGCCATAGTATGTTCCTAGCAAACACCTTTTAAAAAATCACTGAGAGGAGGCCTTGGCTATGAGCCCTATGGTTCTCATTAGAATGGATCCCTCCCAATGACACACCTGGTACCTGATATCTGCAGCAAGTACAAAGGCCAAACCCTGCAAACCTACAGAGTGCAGAATCTGGTCCACGCATGGTAGCGAGTAATAATGAGGTGGGTTGCCGAACTGTAATTGCAGGTCACCCAGAGGTAGCCCATGAAGTCTCCATACCCTCCAGCAGGAAACTTGTCATTGCTCATACTTAGGTCATCATGATTTATCAACTTGAGACTCATCAAATTCCCAAAGCCAAAGACTTTACATATTCTGCCTTTTTTGTGTGTGTGAAAGCTACTGTCATTTACTTTGTCTTAATAACCCTTTATGTTTTGATGGAGCTGGTTAATCTGACATGGCAGGATGTGAATTTTCCAGCATCTGAAGAGTGTGTTAAATACTCCTACCAGCCTGGAAAATATTTATTTTAATCATCACTCTCTTCTCAACTAGAGAGTGAGCTGAAGGACAATGGTCCATGTCTTGTTTTCATTCTTCCCCAATGCAGAATATTATCCCAAAAGGAAATAAAAGTTGATAGAAAGGAGACAAAGATTGAAAAAAGTCATGAAGTTATTAGCCTTTTAGCCATTCACTTGGGAAAAAAAAATTATTGAACATTTACAAGGCTCACATGCTGGAAGTACAGAGATGTACCAAGCTCAATTCCTCAGTAACTGCCCCCTTCTATAAGCTCTGCATTATGGGGACCAGCAGATGAGATTTGATGATTAAATTGCTGGATTTCCATGTAGTCAACCATAGTTTGAGTTCCAGACTTCGTGGCTTAAAATTCACACTGGGCACATGTGTGTGTATGCCCAAAATCCTGAGAGGAGAATAAAGGAGAAGGGACTGCTGCATGGCCACCTCTACCCTCTGGGGCAGGGCAGGGGGGATTTCTCACTTTCTATTTGTCTATCTGTGTCTCTGGTGAGCACACGCACCCTAAAGCAAAATTTCCTCTTAAAAAAATCTGCATTATGATTTTTAGATTTGAATGAATAAACTCAGCAACAAACTGTTTTTAAATGAAATATCAGGTATTTAGGGCCATCCCAGTAATGACAATTCCACTTCTCTTGCTTAGATGTTTTTTTTTTTTTTTTTGAGAGATTTTCACTATAGGGCACGTGTGCTCGCCAGACAGACAGAGACAGAGAGACAGAAAGCGAGAAATCACCCCTCAGGGAGGATGGTCACGCCGCAATCCCTTCTCCTCCATTCTCCTCTCGGGATCTTGGGCACACACGCACACACGCCCGGCGTGAGTTTTAAGCCACCGGGTCCAGGACTCAAACCTCACTTGACTACGTGGGAGTCCAGCGACATAGCCATTACGCTAACTGCTGGTTCCCTCTTGCTTAGATGTTTGATATGTTTGATGCTCTACCTACTTAGTACCAAAAGTGTATGCATGGACCCTAGTTTTGACATCAATAAAATCTAAAGATGGGACTTGGTCTGGCTTTATCACATGGTAGTTGAGAGACTCATATCCCATGTGATCTATCACAGTTTGAATCATAGCCTCCACAGCTTGAAAAACACTCCAGGTACATGTGTATGCATGCCCCAAATTCTGATGAGATGGAGAAATGGAGGACAAAGTGTTTTGGTGTGCCCATGCCCCATGGGGAGTGCTTTCTCTCTTTCTCTCTCTCACTCTCTGATGAGCCCACATCCTCAGACAATTTAAAAAAAAGGGGGGGTGCGATAGGAATCCACTCTAGGCATTTGAAGGCATTTTACTCTGCATTTTCCTAGGTCTTAGAGGATATATCTGAAAGGAATTTGGCTTTTGCCTTTTACGGATCTCAGAAGCAAATTCCTGTTACATACATTATTTATCCCAGTATTTTTAACCAGTGTGCATCTATTGTAGTTCTACTTCTCTACTCAGCTGTGAACTTCTTTAGTGCTCATCTTCATATTATTTTTGTTACAAACCTGGTCTATAATAATTACTTAAATGTAAAAGAAAAAAATAGTCTTATGTAAAAAAAAAAAAAAAAAAAAGAAGAAAAGAAAAGAAAAAGAAAAGAAAAGAACAATGGTTCGTACCTTGACAGATGATGGTTTAACTTCAAAAAGAAAAATTCAAGTGAATAGAAAATAAATGATAGGTAGGAACTGAATTTAAAATGTTTTAGAGCCGGCAGGTGGCATGGTGGTTAAGACACTGGACTCCCACATGGCCTATGGCAATTTGAGTCTCACACTTGTTGGCTTGCTTTGTCAGTTTCCCTTTCTCTCTCTCTGTCTCTCTCTGGTCAAATTTTAAAAGTAGAAGAAGAAATAAAGTTAAAATAAATCATTCTTTTTAAAGAGAACACTTTTTAAAACATCCTGACAGCAAATGCAAGGTAGCCTCCTGTCAGGCAGAAGAGAATGGGAACTGTGGCCATCTCTTTATAGGTCCTCCTCTTCCAGCACACTTCCTGGGCTTTTTCGCACAATGATCTCATGGTTAAGAGCGACAGGATAAGCCTCACTGTGCAAACACTTCTCCAGTCTCTGTAGTTATCGTATCTGCTATTGTCCAAGGCCAAAGAAAGTCATATGGCCAAGGTCAAGGTCAGAGTGAGTTTGGAAGCATATTAGTAAAAGGTGTGGATCCACCAAGACTTAAGTTAGGGCCCTTAACTGAAATCAAACTATCATAGAAGGTAAGAATCCCCCACAATATAGGCCTCTAATAATTGCATACAGCATGGTTCCAGATGTGCAAAAACAAGACGCTTACTGTAGCTGCATGTACACGTGTACCCACACACATATACACACACAAACATAAACAGAGATCTAGAAAATGCACAAAACTCTGTTCCTAGTGCTTAATGTATGCTTCTGTATTCTTTACATTTTAAAATAATATGTATATTTCCTTGTAGTGAGTGCATATTTTAAGAAAAAAGGTCTTGAAGATAATGCGAGGAAATGCAATTATAGAGGATGTCTCACATTTTTCTTTTTTTAAATATTTCTTTCTTATTTTCCTTGTTTCCTATGAAGTATATGCATGCTTTCATAATCAGCCTTGTGTGTGCACACAAGCATTCACACATGTAGGATTGTGATATTTAATCAGGCCACTGGTGTCCTCTTCCATCTGGTCTTTGTCCATCATAACACCAGAAAAGAATAGTTGAAAAGTTGAGTTTACAACAAATTCCAAAAAAGCCATTTCCTACTGCACATACAGACCTTGTTGCAAAGTGTGCAGCTGTCATTGGTTGCCTGCTTGGTTTCTTTTCAGACGTCCTGCTGGCACTGAAGAGGAGTCTCTTTCGTTTGTCTGGTCGGAGGGAGTGCTTGAATTTGTCGATGCTGCGGATACTCTGAGGCCTTTCACACTCTATGAATATCGGGTCAGAGCCCATAATTCCAGGAGCTCAGTGGACAGTCTGTGGTCTTCAGCACGGACCCTGGAAGCCCCACCTCAAGATTTGGCAGCACCCTGGGCTCAAGCCACCAGTGCACATTCCGTTCTGCTAAACTGGACAGAGCCAGAATCTCCCAATGGCATTATCTCCCAGTACCGTGTGATCTACCAAGAAAGATCAGATGATCCAACATTTAACAGCTCTCTGGTGCATGCTTTCACAGTGACGGTAAGAAATTAGAAACAGTAACAGATTATCTAGTTAATACCTTGAAATTCATTTACAGGGACCAGCAGATGAAGCAATGGTTACATCGCTGGACTCACACATGGTTGACCACGATTTGAGTCCCGAACCCAGAGGCTTGGAACTCATATCAGGTGCATGTGCAAATCCAAATCCCAAGAGCAGAATGTAGGAGAAGGGATTACAGCAGGGCCATCCCCCCTGAGGGGGGTGGGTGATTTTTTGCTTCCTGTCTCTCTGTCTCTCTCTGTCTCTTCTGAGAGTGCACATGCCTTATAGCAAAAATCTCTCTAAAAAAAAAAGAAAAGAAATTCATTTACTCATCCAACGTGTTACTTTTCTTCACTTAGGGTTTAAATATATGAAAATCTTTCACATGTGAAATGACGTAATGAGGTCATGATAAGATGCTGAATTGAGTGTAAGGGATTCTGGGGACCCAGCTTGCAGACTGCAACTCATTTGTATGACCTCAGGCAAATAATGACTCTCTCTCGGCCTGATTTCCATTTGCAATATCCAGGCAATGGGAATGTTTCAGTGAACCCCTCTGTGCCTCACAGGATTAGGGTTCAGATACAATTAGAATATTTAATTTCCTACTTCTTCAAAGAGCTAATTACGTATGCATCCATATATACATACATATGTATTTTCACTATATATAATCATTGTGATATATAAGCATTAAAGTCACGTTCAGTATAACTTAGTGGTGATTGATTTTTTTCTGGGTTGACCACTTCTGGTCCATAAACAACTTAAATGAGTTCACCTAGTCAGCAAGTATCTTCAGAGAGATTTCTTTATGCCCTGTGTAGTCTGATAGTCTATTGCAGATGCAGAAACACGATCATCTTTGTTTCCGGGAGCATTCTCTATTACAAAATTGTAAGAATGAGAATTACACATAAGAAAAAAAATGAAAGAAGCGGTTAAGTACAGCTTATAATGTCCAATACAGTAGACTTAGGTCCCAAAGTCTACCACCCACTAGCCATAAACCAAAATATAAGAGAAAATAATATCTTCTATCAAAAGCACAAGGCAGGAAATACTCTAGGAGGTCAG